TAAGAAAGTTTGCACTTCGCCTGCAACCTGCTGTTTTGATAAATTGACTGCGGGACAGCTACTCGCATATTATGTAGGTGCCAAATTTTGGTAAAATTAATTTTCAAAATATAATAAGGTACTAACTTATTAGTTCTTTTTTTGTTTTATATTTTTCAAGTTTTGTTTCAGGGGTTGCGCAAACCTGCAAACCTAAGGAAGAGCCGCCACTGAAACTCATGATGATTGATATGAAAATTGAATTTTTAATTTCTCATAAATTTAGATGAGCTCTGAAATCATCCAGGATATAACTTGTACCATCTTCATTTCATAGTAAAAACATTGAAACAAACAAAGTTTATATTACATTAAATTAACTCACTGAAAACACATATCCAGTAGGGGTCAAAAATATTTAAAAAAAAAATCACGAATGGACGCGTCAAATTCCCCATCAGCCAGTCCATGATTGTTAAGCCCGATCTAATGAACCCTTATTATGTGTGGCGTAGCGGCGTGGGATCGGACACAAGTGCAAAAAGCGAAATGATGATTCTTGGACCGATTGCGAGGTTTTGTTCTCACACGATTTGAACCCGGACTATTATAACCAATTATTTGGGTTGTGTTATACATATCACGCTTTGCCCGCGTCCGATACGGACGTCGTGTGCACGTATCGTCCATAATCTGCGGCTTGTCTTCTCCTCTTCTTCTTCTTCTCCTTATTGTGCCGATGCCTTTCCGAACGAGGTTATTAACTAAACACTATCTTTATGCGGAATTATTAGATAATAATCACTTGGTGTGGTGAAGATAATATCATCGTATAGGTATCTTCTTCCTTCAACTCGTCTTTTTGTACCTTTGAAACAAGATTCAGGAATGCAAATATTTTTAAAATTAAAATGCCCATAGTCCAACATCCAACCAAAGAATTCGCTAATTGTTGTTCCTTGGTCCCCATCGCCTCCATAAGAATTAACGCACAAACCCAAGAACGTTACTAATAAGTTTTAACACATTATCGACACCATTGCGGAAAAATTTGCAACCTTACAATGCCAATAGCGAGCCAGTATCGCCATAAACAGTACGTACTATGCATAATATAACCCATGGAACACCTTCTATGGGACACTGTTCTATTATCAAGATTACCATATACCAATAATTACCTGTGTATAATGTCCGAGTCGCATTTCACCAATTAGTTAATGCTATGGTATTTGATATGGTTATGTGTAATGAAATACATTTTGATAGTTTTTCGATAAATTTTGTATCATTGACACACACTGTATGTTAATGTTAATACGATGAGGTTAGAACAAGCTAGTTACCAATGTATGTACCATCCCATCCCAGAATCCGGTTGCTTCATTACATTCTATAGAACATATCGGCCCACGCTTAGATTTCTTTTTCCACGTTCATTATGGAAAATGCGGTGCTTATCGACTAGTTTTGAATCGTCTTGGGGACAACAGATTTATGGGCGACTTATCGCGTTTTAGGTTCTTATGTTGCAACTATACGACGATCTTTTACTGATGGGGGCCCAGTTTTCTGAATAAAATTACGGAATACGCGGTGATGTTGTTGTTTGAAAGGAGGTATTTCGGACTTAACTGGGAGTGTCTTATTGTGTTTCGAATGGTAATTTATTTGAATGGCTACTTCTTGTTAAGAAATGTTTTAATCGAAGCTGGAAAGTACTAAAGTTAAACTTTGTATAGAAATATTAAATAACTCAATAATTTTTTTCTGCCTATATATAACTCTCAAAAAAACATGTTATTTTCGAAAAAATAGAGACTAGACATCCATTTCATCAATAAGTATCTTTAGGTTGTTAACCAAGGTACAACTGGGTACGTTAAGGTTAAGACCGTATAGAAGAGTATGTGGCTCCAAAATTGGTTTATATAGCTATCAGAAAACGCACAATTGAAAAAAATAAGAAAAGAATAGTAGATATTCATACTCGATATCGAGTGATCGCCTATATGATGATGACGATGATGATTCTTGATGATGATGATGATGATGATGATGACGATGATGATGATGATGATGATGATGATGATTCTTGTCCATGTGCTATTTCCTTTCTGTTATCCAGTAATTATGCTATACAAAACATAATACGGGACACAGCCGCCCTAAACCCGGCTTGTTCTTCTCTCTTATCTTTGTAAGTATTCTTTTTCCAACTTTGTTATTTATTTTTCTCTCATGGATTCTACTCAGATTACTTGTACCAAAAATACCTCTAATTATCGTATCTGTTCTTTTTTTTCTATCAATGGTGCACCGGCGTATCCAGCCCATGCGTCTGGGGGGGGTAATCAGCCCATTTTTTCCCGGATGCCACGCCCAAAAACGTTTACTTTGAGCCTTCAAAAAAAATTTTTTCTACGAGAGTGAGGACAATCAAACAGTGCGGAAAATCGATTTTCTCGCACGGTGCGGCGAATTTTTTTCCGCACGGATATCGGTGCGGAAAAATCTAAATCTTTTTCGCATGGCTGTTAAAAAAAAATCAATAAATGACTACAAATTATGTAGGTATATGCAAGGCAGTGTTGTCAATCTGAATTTGTGAAATTGCACGATATGCTGGTAAAATTACACGTTTTTACACGCTTTCATTTTTCACAATTACACGATTTTGACACACGATCTTGGTAACCAATCTGTAACATCAAGAAGCAAGTATTTTTTTTTGGGATTTTGGGAAATGGGTTAAATCGTAATGCCCGATTGCACCGTCTCTCTTAACCGAGGCTTAGAGATAACTATTCCTTAAAGTGACATTTTCCCATGCAAAACTGTCAATTTAAGGGATAGTTATCGTTAAGCCTCAGTTAAGAGAGATGGTGCAATCGGGCATAAATCCAGTCAAATCTGAGGGTTAATGCTCCTGATCATAATTCCTCAACGAAAAATAAAAATGTGGCAACTACAGAAAAGCGTTCCGAAAGTAATCGAATTACTAATTACTGGTTCCTGGAAAAGAGGTTACTTTTGTACCTCAGTTTCCTGCAAGAATACTACACACTACTACTATAGGATAGTCTATCCTCATAAGGCCTGTGTAGTTCAATCTGAAGCCGCCGCTGCCATGCCAAAATATCATCAGTAATGACGTAGACAGCGTGTCGTTTCTCGTCTTCACGTAGGGTGTTTGTACCACAGGTTATGATTCCGCGGGCTTTTCCTTTATGCAAAACTTGGTTTCACTACATTAATTAATATTCTGAAACAACTCTTTCTCGTTTTTGGTAATCGCCGCCATATTGGTTTTCAACTGTTTTCAACCATTGTCGACGTCATAACTAAGTTTTCAGCTGTTTAAACAGCCTACGTCAAGGCGAGAAACGCCAAGCTGCTTACGTCACAACTGGTTGTTTGGCTAAGGGGGGTAGAGGGGGATTTTTTACAAACAGGCCTTATGAGGATAAGCCATCCTGTAGTAATAGTAGTGTGTATCATCCTTGGGTATATGTACCTACTTATTTCCGCACGTCTGTAAAAAACCTATTGTACCTAACACATGCGAAAAATCTGTCTTCCGAACTTGGCTGCTTCACCGAATTCCGCTACGCGTCTTTGGGTGAACGACAGACTCGTGCGGAAAAATTCATTTTTCGCACTTGTTAGGTAAATATGTTCTGTACTACCAACAAATAACGAAACCGTACTCTGATAGCGAATTCCATTGGAATAAAGGTTAGTGCGCACCGAGTGTATTCGTATCTTATTCTACCAGCTTATATAAGAAAGAGATAAAAATACACTCTTTCGCACTGATTTTACCAATGGAATTCGCTATGAGAATCGCCTAAAACTTTTCAATTATAGGCATAGCGAATTCTATTGGTAGGATTAATACAAAAAATTTATTTATCTCTTTCTTATGCAAGCTAGTAGAGAAAGATATGAATACACTCAGTGTGCACTATCCCTTTGAATAGAATTCGCTATAAATGGCATGCGGGCAGTGCGGACACTGTGCAAACTAGAAAACAAGTTAGGGCCAGTTGCTGAAAAGTAAAAATATAAAAAATAGATTTATTTGTAAGGTGTAGGGTACATTTTTTTCGTCCATCGTAACGATCTTGGGGGGGGGTAATTACCCCCATTACCCCCCCTTGTATACGCCGGTGCAATGGTGTATTGTATGTAAGACATTTTCCACTCCTATGGTATTTTATTTCCCACTCGGTTGAATCCATTAGGGCACCTTTATCCTGAATTCAGCTTTCAGCAAAAACTTGGAGAACATAACGCTTACTAATTTGCTCATTGAAACAAACATGCCTCCTAATTATTGAACCCATTTCGTGGGTTCTCCGTATCGAATTTGCAATATTAATCTCGAAAATGATAACGGCTAGAATGGCGCTCGCACACAGTAGCGGATCGAATTCATCTTACAAACAGAATGAAGGTCAATCAAAAAAGACTCGGCCTCTGTTATTAGGCTTTGCCGACAGAAAACGATTTAGAGCAAAACCGGTGGCAAATCTTATTCGAAATGCAAATTTTTAGAAGGGTCAACTATGCATGGGAATTTTCGTAATTTGCTCTGTAAATTCACAAAACTACTTATTAACTTGTTATAAATCCTCTAATACTTGAGTGACATCTATCATCCATATTTCACTTCATATTAACTAAAAAAAACTTGTCGGCATAAGATCACTAGTGCCACATTCCTACGAGTCTTTTATTCGTTGGTGTCAAACATCCATTGATTCCTAATTAAAATTTTTCACGGCTGATTTCTAAAAATCATCGATCATTGTTTAATTGATCGGAACTATGTACCTATAGGTACCTTATACATTTATGGCTATTGAGTATTCTGAAGAACAGTTATTTGAACTATACCTTACTGATAATGTATATTGGTAAATAAGTATTTTCTAATAAGTAATAGTAGAGATTACACTTACACTTTTATCAGAAAAACATATTATTGTTATCGCAATTCAGTAAGTAATAATTATTATCAGTGTACGTGTGCATGGAAAGCAATAAGCGGCAGCTACAAAGAAATGATGTGACAACTTGGTTCCTGGACAATCAAATAATCATGAAAATACAAGTAGGCGGGATTTTTTTTCAAATTTAACTCAACATAATTATTGATTCTATTCCTGATTATAGAATTCCGTTTTCCTGGTTACAGGAGGTGCCTCAGACGACTATGGAAGAGCTACCGTTGAAAAATTACTAAAAGAAGGGGCAAAAGTGATTATTTGTGATTCGCCCACGAAGGATTTAAATATTTATGCAGATGATAAGGCCATATTCTTACCGATTAATGTAAGATTTACAATGATTTTATTAGGTAAAATACATTTTCCTTTGCCCTATAATCAATAATAATAAAATTACTTGATTAGATAAACGACGATAAAGATACAAAAATCTTGGCTGAAATTATAGAGGAAAAATATGGCAGATTAGATGGTGTAGTTAATTGCATTGACGTTTATAAATCAATACCACACAGCCTCGAAGAGGTTTCTACCATTGTACATGTAAGTAAATTTTGTAAATTTTAGTATTACTAAAATATGATTACCACTATATTTTTCCAGGATAACATCCTGGGTCCATACAATATCATCACATGCACAATCCCCCTAATATCCAAAAATATCCCTAAAAAAAGTAGCGGTAGAGGTATAATCATTAACATGTCAAATGGTGCTGCATTTGATGGTATGTGCCCATATGCAGCCAGTAAAAATGCTGTCATCAAAATGACCGAGTGTCTAAATTTTGAGTTGCAAGGAATTCAAATTAGATCTGTAGCGATTGTGACGAGTGAGTAGAATTTGTAGCTTTTCATTACTATTGTTTGTATATTTTTTTCAGATCATAGAAAACATGGAATCAATGCAGCCGCAGAAGATATACAAAAATTTGTGGAAATGGTTAAAACAGTTATTGAAATGCCTATTGGTATGAGTTCTCCTGTAATAAGAGTTGAAAGTTGATGTTTGGATCATAGGCTCATACATTATACAAAATTATTGTTAACTAGTCTTTAGGTTTATATTCGTATTCCAAATACATATGTTCTCATGACAATATTATAACAAAAAAGTCATAGTTCCATTATTCAAATAAGCGTTCAAATTGTGGGTCATATCGTGACTCAACAAGATTATTTAGAGAAAAATCTAAATTTTAATAATATCGCATTCGGTCGGTGTATAGGTAAGTAACCATTAATATGCGGTTCTGGTTACTTACTACTTATAGATATTTTCTTCTTAGTCCGTTGTGAAACTGCTGATTTGCATATGACAATTTATATCTTCTGGGTTTTTACCACATATTATTTAAGATATGGATTGTTCGTTAGTTACCTAAATATGTATTTATTTCGATGTGCAATTTTTATTGGGAAAAATATTAGGAGTGCTGTTGTTCTAAGAGCCAGCATCATAATTATTATTTCCTGAAAAACTAAATCTAGGTGTATGTCGGAGAGTAGGTAGTCAGAATGACAGAGGAGCTTTTGATTTTTTTTTTTTTTTGTCCAGTTAGGCAGGATATAAAAATTTAGAAAAAATAGGTATCCTATAGAAAACTGAAAACGATCTTATAAATATTTGTAACTAGAGGTGAAAATATTTCATGAATCATGACATCAGTAAATCAAGAAAACAAATTAGATCATATACAGGGTGTCCTCAGATACACTGACACATTTTGCAGGTAAATATATTGAAAACGAGAAAAGATAAGGAAATGCGGTTTCTTTTGGGAGAATGACAATTTTTTTCCACATCATTGCCAAATCCTAAAATTTACCCAAATTTGGGTCTACAAACTTTTTTGTCTGTAGTTTTTAACTGTTAACTGTCATATAGACAATTAATGAATATGTAATGAATGACTTGACGTTTGTTCAAGTGTGTTGTAACGTACGTTCAAATAGAGTTATTAAGTGTGTCTCCGGTGTAGTATGTTCCTTTGTATTTTGTAGCTTTCCCGAGTAAATTCCACGGTCCCTCGATCCAAAGCAGACAGAGGTTGAACCACCGACTGTCCGTCACAAATTGGCGCCCAACGTGCCGCATTCGAGGATTGCGAAATGTGATTTCGTAGAGTTACAACGAAAGTGTGTTTTAAGACATTGAATCGACACTGTCTAAGTTTGGTTTTGTGTTAACGTCCTTTCCGTTGAACACTGTCATTTCAGTTTCATTTCGGAAATATGGCCGTCATACTATACCTATCCTATTTTTTTTTTTCAAAAATCAATAATTACGTTTCATTGGTGCAAAAGGTCCAATACTCACCACTAACGTTAAGATATTGTTGCCGCCTCTTGTTTTGTCAAACGTAATCCATAGTTGCCAAGTTTCTTCTGATAAAACCGCAATATCCATTCTATTTTAAAATGGATGCCTTTAAGATCTGGTGAAGGATTTCAGCCACAATCAAGCACGATACCACAACTGCATCTCCAGTACAACAGATTGTCATGACGCCAGATATGCTTCAAAGATTATTAGCTGGTATACAAAATGTGGATATTGGTACACAGATTACTCAAGTCCAACAAAATGTAAGTATGCAATGGTTGGCAATGGTGGTTTACCATTAAGGCATGCTTTTGGTTATTCGAAACCACCTCATCAAATTTACAAAGAGCTTTTTTCAAAAGTGCAAGGTGATGAGAAAACGGACATAAGTATTTGTTAGTAAAGCTAGCGCTTTATTATCCCATCTAAAAGGTGATTCGGCTGTTTCTGAGCATGTACAATTCGACATAGTATATGGTCTTTCAAACGTACGTGTAAAATAAAAGGTCTTGCTTTCATACTTTGCTCACTCTGATTCTTCCATTCGCCCACTCACCTAACTATTGAAGGTCATCAAGGATTTACGTATCCCGATACCGGACATTCCGGTACTCAATCAAGTATCGCTGGTGCTTAGGTACTTAAGAGCAGATGGTAGAACTTCTACATTAAATGCGTTTTGTTTTGATGTGAAAGTTGCCTTGAAAAATAGAAGTCATCATGTTATCATGATTTCTAGGGGCAGATTTTCTTAAATCAGCAAATATTATTCTGGATGTTTCCAATGATTGATGGAACCTTCAAAAGTCATACATTCAACAAGATGATTGAGGCAAACCCAGATCTTTTCACTATCAGTGTAGAACCGACTCCATTTGCAGAACATGTTATTACCTTGACAGATGACATCCCAATTGCCGCACCTCCTTATCGCCTGTTTGAGACTAAAAGGATCCAGTTAAAGCAAGAAATTGACAACCTGCTTACGGAAAGGATAATTGAAGAATGTGAATCCCCTTACGCTGCTCCTGTAGTTTTGCTTCCCAAAAAAGATGGTGGGGCCAGGCTAATCGTTGATTACCGCCGGCTTGATGCTAGGACGACGCCAGATGGTTATCCGTAGCCGCGGATTGACGACATTCTCCATATGACAACACTAGATTTTAAGTCTGGTTACCATCAGGTGTCAGTAAGACCCTGTGATCGAGATAAGACTGCATTTATATACCCGTTTGGAACGTTCCACTACACAAGAATGCCTTTTGGACTGCGTAATGCGCCATCTACTTTCCAGAGGCTAATTATCAGATTTCACTCAGGCCTTCAAAATATTGATCTGTTAAGCCCGTATTACATCTGTGTATTTATCCGTGTATTTCTTCATGTAGTTCAGGGTGCCAACATTATTTTGTTTTTCATAATGCTGATTTATGTTGCGTTTGAAGTTTTTCGGTTGTCACCCTGAACTACATGAATAAATTCACAAAAAAATACACAGATGTCATACGGGCTTTAGCATATTTTGATATAATAATCTTGTCTGATTTCTTTGAATCCCATATCGATCATCTAGGTACAACAAGTGTTTGATTGAGCGCTTGAAATTATTTAAACTTCGCCAAAACCGCAAGAAATGCAGATTTTCTTATTCTTCGGTACAGTATTTTGGCCATGTGATAACACCACAAGGTATTGCACCAAATCCTGAAAGGATTACTGCTATTTTGAAAATCCCAGTGCCACGAAACCTTAAGGAACTTCTGTGTAATTTTTACAAACCTGCTCATGGTATAGACGATTCATTGAAAATTTTGCAAATATCTCTAAACCGTTAATAATGTTAAACAATTTGGGGTGATTTATCAATTTTTCCATTTTTCTTATTGCCTTTTTTCATAGAATCCGGCTCCAAATCTCAGAATAATTCATTGTATAGAGTTTGGGGGGTCGTGAATAACCACAAAAAAAAAAAAAAAAACATCGTTTTAGTACTGAGGCAGCTACCTTATGATTTAGATTTTGGAAAACTTTGGAAAGTCATAACTTTTTTTCTATTATAGATAGAAAGCTGAAATTTCCAGCGATTCTTATTCCAGTAGAGGATTACAATCCCTGAAAATTTCAGCTCATTTGGACTTATGGTTCTAAAAATAAAATCGTGTTAAGCAATTGGGATATAGTTTATCAATTTTTCTGAGTGGTTTTTTTCATAGAATCGGGCTCCAAATCTTAGAATAATTTAGTTTATAAAGTTTGGGGGATCCCAAAAGACCATCAAGACACAAAATCTCAAAAAAAAAAAATTGAAATTTCATCGTTTTAGTAATAAGGCAGCTACCTTATGCTTTAGATTTTGAAAAACTTTGAAAGGTCATAACTTTTTTCCTATTATAGATAGAATGCTGAAATTTTCAGGGGTTCTTATTCCGGTAGAGGACTACAATTTCAGATCATTTGGATTTATAGTTCCAGAAATAAAATCGTGTTAAGCAATTTGGGGTGATTTATCAATTTTTCAATTTTTCTGAGTGCCTTTGTTCATAAAATCCAATTCCAAATCTCAGAGTAATTTAGTGTATGGAGTTTGGGGGGTCCGGAATTGGAGCTGAGCTCATTATCTGTTTGCCTATTTATCTAGCAATCGAATTCATTGAAAATTAGGCCGTTATATTGGAGAATGCTGGTTGAGCCATGGACTCAATGTTAATTTCTCTCTTCCCGGAAAAAAATTGGTAAGAGACGAGCTAAACTTTCATTTGTATCCTTGTTTGAGGTCCTTTCTGATCGATGTTTTTTTTCTTCATAAGTTCCACTTTTGTTCAAGTATATTTTTGCCAAAATCGTGGTAAGGATATTACCCAAAAGTGAGAATTAGCAGTTAGTTGAGTTTTAGCTCGGTTTGGTTTAGAGTTCTCCAACCTTGAAATATTAGTGAAGTTCATTCAGGGATATTTGTAAGAGTTTTAGAGGCTTGAACTGAAGCCACTGGATCATCATTTTCGTTTGTCCATTGGAAAGTCACAAAGAATATTCCTGAATTGATAGAGCACAAATATCGAGATACAGAAATTGCTTCAGGATCCCAAAGTCAATAATGTTCTACTTATGAATCATTTTCAATGTGTACGTAATCTGGATTCACTTCTACCTATCGTTTTTGCTTTCCCATCGAGTAACTAACTGAGAGTAGGTTAGGTACTTCTATCACAAACCTTAAGATTGAATATAGTAATTGAACAACATAAGTTATTGTCATTGACCAAAATAATCAGCTGGTTACTATTATTCGACAAAGCAGCCCATTTACATGATTGTAAAGTGTTAAACGCCTTTCCGAACCGTTAAAAGGCATTAAGGTGACCACGAAAGAACATAACATTATCATTTAAATGAATTAGACAGGCCCGACTAACACGGGATTCATTTTTAGAAACGTGTCAAGACAGTTTTTGTGTATCAATCATTGTGTCGCTTACATGGGTCAACGAAACGTGATTTCCACGAGCCAGAACAACACTTGTTTTGATTGGGATTTTTAGCTTGTCAGCTTGTTAATCATTCTAACAAGAAAAAAAAATGTGAATGGAATAGGTAGTATTTTCGAAAATTTTAGATATTGTCTAAATAGAGTGGGTCAAAAGTTTGATAATTGAACGTTTTCCTATATGTATAGAAATGTCAAACCGAAATTAAAATTATGGAGAGCTTGCTTAGGAGAGCATATGAAAATCTTGGATCATCATCCTCAGGGCTTCACAGAGTGGAATGTTTACATGGTGATGGAGAAATTCAATTAATTTGAGTTTCCACTTTTTATCTACACGATGGCTGTCTCAATTTCTTCTTCAATAATATCTGGTTATTGCTATACAGCTAGCTCACTGTAGAAGTTGTACACAATCTCCAGAGCTTCTTCTTGACGGCTGGTTATTAGTTCTTGGTGGTACCTTAGCTTATGGATGCTCTATGTTCTTTTCCTTCCCAACTTTAAGTTGGCTCGCAGTACTTTTTAACTTATACTTTGGTCTGCTGTCCTAGTACTGGTATAATTGCTCTGATAACATTCTCTTTTAACTCTCTTCCTCTCAATAGATCTTGTGTGCCTTTCCCATCAAATATTGTTGTGACATATTGAAGACGATTTACATGTTCCAGTCAAAAACATATTACGTTTAAAAGTGAGTATAGGCACACCCTATATATCTACAAATATGTATGTTTCAAGATGATCCGACAACCTTCGTTCTACGTTCCAGCCAGTGACTCCTAGAACACCAATAAAATACTGTCGGTAATATTATCCTTAATTACCTATAAAAGGTTTTGTGTGATGTTCCTGTGTGTACCGTACGTGTCACATAGTAGTCAATAAAATTTTATATCGCATAATGAGGGAGAACATCCTATCGGGACTGCTATATCAAAGCTATATGGTGTGCCAATGGAAACCAGCAAAGCCTCTGTCAGATCAAAGAGCAAAGGCCGCGGATTAGGAGCCTAGAATATATATTAAACTATAAATTTATTAATATCACTTTGGTTTAACGGATGATCAGGACTTTTTAGTATTGGAAATTCTAATGTTGCTTCTTTTATTACAAAACGATGCCAATAAATTACAACTAATT